ATGTTCAACTTTTTTATATTTTTTTCTAAAACTTCTAAAATTAACAAAAACAACCATATATAACAAAATATAGAAAAACATTTTTTTAAATTTTTTGATTATCATGAATATTACTTTTATTAAAAAATTTTTTTTTTTTTTTTTTATAGACTTTGTTATATATGTTTGTTTTTGTTAATTTTGAGGAAGTTTTAGAAAAAAAATATAAAAAGTTGAACATTTGTTTATAACAAATTGGTAAGTTAATAAACAATAGAATTGTTGATTAAAAAAATTTTTTTTCTGTTACTTTATAGAGGATTGTGAATTATGATTTTTAAAAAAAAATTTCTTAACTAATTATTTAAACAAAAGAAATATAAAAAAACGATTATAAACAATTAAAATATGTTATTAAGAAATTTTTTTTTTTAAACAATCATAATATTTGTAATGTAATAAAGATAATTTTTTTTTTAAAACAATTGATTTAATCAATTTGTTTAAAAAAATTATAACAAGGGAAGAAATTTTTTGCAAATCAATAAATATCTTGTATTAATATAAAAACGATAATTTGATGATTTAGAAAAAAAAAATTTTTTAACAACATTACTTGATTTTTAAGTTTTGTTTAAGGAAAAAATTGTTATAAACAAAGTATAAATATTCTTTAAATACCTTGTTTATGTAAAAGGTTCAAGCGAAATATTTTTACGACCATTATAAAACATTTTTTTCGTGAGACGGTCGTTCGAGAAAATTTCGTTAGTTAACAATTTTTTAACTTTTGGAAAATTAACTTTAAGTAAAATTTCACGGGAATAAATTAATTATAGTGTTCAGAACACACCACAATTTTTTCAAATTTAAAAAAATATTCAATACCTTAAATAAATTAATTTCCGTGGTTTGCGACGCGCATCCGCTAAAATGTCACGCACAGACAGCGTTTAATTTTCAGTTATAAATGTAATGATAAATAATGTGATAGTTTTATTGTTTTCCTTTTTGAAAATTTTTATTTAAATTCTGAAATAAAAAATAATAGTTTATAAATATTGGCAAAAACAAATTCCATTTTTTTCATTTAATGGTCTGTAACTTTTGCAATTTTTTATGTGCTAATACACACTTTTAGCACATTTTCTAGGCGTCATCGCGGTTCGAATGAGCTACGTACGTAATTACGCCTATTTTGTTCCATTTTCAACTTGTCGACTAGACTAAAAATTTGACAAATGTCTACCCAGGGCCGAGGCGCAGCCGAAGGTGAGGGTTGACAGTCGGAACAAGTTTCAATGACGGTTCCGCACGTGTACTGAACAACTATTTTTAATACAGTTGCGAAAAAATTATGGCAATTTAATAAAATAATAAAAACACAATAAACTCAACTAATCATTTATTTCTTATACAAATTATAATTCACATACACATTGGTACAGTTTTTTATACTAACTGGAGAAGTTTTAGGTTGCATATTTATTTACTGATTGAGACAAACTATTATTAATTTCGTATGATTGTTAATGTATATTTAATATATAATATAACAAACAACTAAACCCGCGAAGAACATTTTTGGAAAATGGCGCCAACCGTAAAAGAATATAAGCTGATTTTTTTTTCTTCACCCATTCTGGGTAGGCAAAGGGAACTATGCCCCTACATCCAAGTCTTCAGTAGAATTTTTTATTGATATGAAATGAAATTTAATGAGATGAAATCTAACCTAACAACTCATTGAATCAAAACATTAAATCTTATATTGAAACAAAGCAGTACCTTCTTTTTAGAAATATTAGGTCCTCACATATGAAATTGGCGTTTTGTATGGGAGGAACAAAAAGTCGAATATTTTTAAATATAATATATTTAATTAATCCAAGTATGAACCATTGTTTTCTATGCACTTTTGCCATCTCATAGGTAGTTCATTGATCCCTTTACTAAAAAAAACAGTCGGACGGGAATCAATAAAATCTGTAAAGGCGATTTGGACTACCCCATCAGAGTTAAATTTTTTCCCTTGCAAGAAGTTGTCCAAATTTCGAAAAATTGGGATAGGGGGGGGGGGGGGGGGGGGGGGTGGGGGGGGGTTTTTTAGATTTAAATTGAGGCTCTTCTAATTTTGTAGCCGTCTGTTGTGGAGTGTGTGGTCTAGCGTTGTCGTGAAGTAGCAGTGGCGTGGAGCGATTGACCAGCCTAGGTTGTTTAGCCTCTAGCTTTTCCATCATGGTTTGCAATTGCTAACAATAGACATCAGCCGTAATAGTCTGGCCAGATTTGAGAAAACTGCAATGAACAATACCGGCACTAGTCCACCAAACGCTTACAAGTAACTTTTTGGGGGTTAATTTTCGCTTGGGGCAGGATTTGCCTGGCTGGCCAGGATCCAACCATTGCGCTGAGCGCTTTCGATTATCGTAAAGAATCCATTTCTCATCACAGGTAATGATTCGGTTAAAAATACCTCCATTATTGTGCCGGTTCAGTAATGTAACGCAGCAGTCGACGCGCGTTTGCCGGATTGCTTCAGTCAATTTGTGAGGTACCCATCTTTCAAGCTTTTTAATCTTCCCAATTTGCTTCAAGCGAATTAAAACAGTTTTATCACTAACACCGCAGCCTGCCGCTAACTCGGACGTGGTTTGCGATGGATCCGCTTTCCACAACAGCCTTCAATACTTCATTATCAACTTGGGTCTCAGGCCGTCCACGGGGCTTGTTCTGCAGGTCGAAATTTCCAGAACGAAAACGTTGGAACCAAAAACGAACTGTGTTTTCTTTTGCAACATGACCGCCATAACCATCATTCACCCTTCGAGTCGTTTCCGCAGCACTAGTGCCACGGCGGAACTCGTACTCATAAATAATGCGATACTTTAAGTTTTCCATTTTGTAAAATGAGTGACGCAAACAGAAAAAAACAGAAGAAAAAAAACAAATGAATGACTGTCATCGAAGCACAAATACATGAGTAAATAGCTGTACAAATTTGAATTTGAAATTTCTTACCAAAGAGGAGAACATCGTGATTAAAGTGGCCAGTACGAAATACGCCAATTTCATATGTAAGGACCTAATATTTGCATGAATCATAAAAAATTCTATGATTTTTTTTATTAAAAACTTCGTGGTTGGTTTTTTCTTTTTAATGGACATTATTTTGACAGTTGGGAAAGAAAAAGTATTTGTTTATTAAAAACAATTGCTTTTTACAAACACAATATTCCCCTGGTAGACCTAGCTAGTATGAAGTCAATCCCATAATCCTTTTCTTGATTGATTTGATTCCTATTTGATGTTTTTGTTTGGATTTTTAAGTTAGATAACCTTACTATTCCTAGACTGGATTCCCATAATAGAAAATAACAAGTAAATTTTCTTTGATTGTCATGCAACATATTGATAACTGATTAACATACCGCCGCGGTTTTCCTTTAAGTTTGTTGTTATAGTTAGTTCTTATATAGACAAGAATAACAACAATTTTAAGAAAACTTCTATAGTAATCATATTATGACCTCTACATTATTTTTAGTAAAGTTCTGTATTATAATCAATTTAGTATGTTAATTAACAAAACCTTCCCTTTTTGCCTTTTTGTTTTTAAAGTTTTATTGTTAAGAGTGTAATAAGTGTTAGTTACAATAAAATATGTATATACCCCTAGTTCATTAACTTTAAATATTAGTTCCAAATATATCTGGATTGGAAGTGGGCCACTCTTCGCGCTCCAAATTCAAATATCAATAGATACAATTTTCCCATTTTGTAGTCGATTTTATGACGTAATCGTGCTGTGTCGCAAGTTATTTAAATACAAGGACAAGGAATGTTTCACAGATTATAGACTTAGCAAATTGCAATCAAATTTTCATTTTATATTCTAAATTTATTGTTTCTTTGTGGAAGGAATTGTTTTTCTTAGTACCTATAAACTAAAACTGGACTTTAACGGTAAACGCTTAATAAGAAATTAATAAATAAGTAGTACATCCTTTATTGTAACTTGCAAAAAGCATGCGTCCTCTTATGAATAACATTGAAAAATGTTAGTGAAAATTCATTCCAATTTTTTTTCGTATTTATTTTTCGAGGTTCATTTATTAGTAATAATTTTAAATTAAATGTTCTTAAAGTGTCTCATCTCTTTCGTGACACAAACCAACTGTCGATGCAGCTGTCCATATTATCCATTTACTTGTTTTATATAAAATGTATATGAATTATGAAACACATCAACATGTTTTTGGCCTTGGGCGTCGGTGGCTTCACGTTCCTTCCAAGCCTTCCAACAAAACATAGCATATTGGGTTTTTTGCAACGCGCCTTTTTCCTTGTTTTGCTAACTGAAATATAAGACTGGGACTTTGAAACCTGTTTTGTGGCTACCGTGTCGTATCGACCAAATACTGTATGAATCTGTGTCTACTGTCTTCCTTTTTGCGTTGTTTCAAATTATTAAAGATACGCCTTAGGTAATGTAAATGTTCATATTTTTTCTAATATAAAATAACAGTCACTCAATATTATTTTAATATCATTTTAGTTTTAAATTAAAGGTAGGTATCTTAATTACGTAAATTATGACTAATTAAAGGTACATTATTACTTATAAGTACATAATATAATCTTTTCTAATTCATATATATATCAGATTTCGGATATTGTTATATGTTGATAGAAGTAGTATTTTATTCCTACTCTGGCATTAGCCATTAGTGACCTCGACCTCTACAACTAAAAGTTAACACACTTTATTCGAAATAACATCATCTTTTTCAAGCTATGAGTAATCTTAGCAACAAATTTCACAATGTGGTGCATATTATACAATACGAGTAGGTACTAGGTATAGGTATAATATTATTTTCCTGTTCCGAATGAAGTTTGTAACACGCGAATTACATGACGTCACCTCCATTCCAGTATGTATAGTATACTTTGAATCTTTGACTTCGAAAATCAATCGACAATCACTCGAGTTCCACTCGTACTAAACTATAGACGACATGCGTTTTGAAAATAAAGTTGTGATTATAACCGGTGCAAATACCAATTTTGGTAAAGAAATATCAGTGCAGTTTATTCTTGAAGGTGCATCCGTAGTGTTAGTTGGCAAAAACGAAGACAAACTCAACAGTTTAAAGAGAATTTGTGACGCCAAAAAAGATGACGATACGCAACCGGCGTTTGTCATCAAAGCAGACTTGACTCAAGACGATGAAGTTACAAATGTAATAAGTCAAACAAAACAGAAGTTTGGCAAGATAAATATATTGATAAATAACGCGGAGATTGTGCGCGAAGGCAGACTTACTGATGATAGTGTTTTAGATTCATTTGATGATGTTATGAGTATTAATCTACGCGCCGTTGTAGCCATCACTACTTCTGCGGCACCACACCTTATCAAGACGAAGGGAAATATAGTGAATATATCCTCTGTTGGTGCTGAAAGAATTTTAGGTAACAATCACATAGCTTACTTTATTTCTAAAGCTGGGCTTAATCATTTTACAAGAGCATGTGCTATGGAATTAGGAAAGAAAGGTGTCAGGGTGAACACAGTTAGTGTAGGAGCAACTTCAGGAAGCTATAGTTATAGTAAAAGCATTGACACCCATATTGACCCTGAGGAAGTAGCCGAACTGGTTCTCCATGCTGCTAGCAAAAAATCTAAAGGAATTACAGGTTCTAATCTAGTCAATGATTGTGGAAATTTAGTTGCATATGTTGACGACTGGAAAAACTATTGAAGACTGAACTTTAAACTACAATTTTGTATGTAATTTTTAATAGAATTCAACTCTGATGAAAAATTTGAATAAGTATATAAGTTATAAGGAAAAATTTGTTTTTTTTGTTTTGCTATCAATTTTTGTAAATATACTTTGATGATGTTAAACTATGATATGCTATTATATTATGATAAGTATTAGTCATAATTCTATATTACCTATAGTAAAAATAAAAGTTTCATGTTTTGTAGTAAAACAAAATATATGAAATTATATATTGTATTCAAACTCCATCTTTGATTCTTTTGTTTTATTTATAGTCATTTTGTAAACCTCCAATTTAATAGTAAGTGTTATACTAAATTAGTTAGATAGTTTAGAAGGAACAGATAATATATTGTGTCTGTTCAAAGGGAATAAATGTTTAATGTATCCATAATTAATTCTTTACATATTTTCATTGGTGAATTAATGGAATCCATCCAGTTATCCATGATTATGTTTGTATGCATTGAGTTAAATGATTTTAGATCCCTAGGCAGAACTAAGCTTGAAACCCAATACCTAAGATTTGAATTACAATTTGATTGTGAAATGACATTCTTTATTATCCACTAAGATCCACACACACACACATACACATCGACATCTCATCCACAAGGCTAGACGTAGGTAGGAGTTATTTAAACTTTGTTATATTAAAATAAAAAACTAATAACAACTTATACAAATCTAAATCTAGATTTCCGAGACTTAGAGGGAGGGAAAAAGGAACATATGTTAGGAATTTGATTGTCATTAATATTAATTAATACAAATTATAAATTTTAATTCTTTTAATTTATTTCTTCGATATTAAAAACACGTGGCATTTTAATTTATAATTCGACATTTGTGATTTCAATAAATTATTTTGCATAAAATATAAACTACTAATATTTCATAAATTCTCTTTACAAAATCTTTATTTTAAAAATAGAATTTCTATAAGTTATATAACCCTCTCTCTCTCTCTCTCTCTCTCAATGGCTCTCTCCCTTTTCTTCTACAAAAACGCTGCACATCGTCGTGACTTTTTTTAAAAATTTTAATGAAGGTAAAGAAGTTTACTTCAAAAAAGAAACCAAACATAAACTATACCACTAGTGTATTTGCTATTATAAGAACTGCTTAATTATCAACACAATAGGCATACAAAGTCAACAAAACTCATATCTCAGCTGATAACATTTTTAATCTATATATTAGAAACCTACATCTATTTAATAATAGTTTTTCTTGGTATGTCTATTGAAAACCACTAGAAATGAGTTTCGCTGAGAAAGTTGTCCTTATTATTGGTGCAAGTTCGGGTATTGGAGCCTCAACAGCTATAGAGTATACAAAAGAAGGAGCTAAAGTTGCGATTGTAGGCCGAAAGGAAGATAAACTTCAAATTGTCGCAACAGAATGTAAGGAAAATGGTCAAGATCCACTCGTTATCAAAGCAGACATATCAATCGATGATGACGTAACTAGGATAGTCCAAGAAACAATTAGTAAATACGGTAAAATTGATATTCTTGTAAATAATGCTGGTATCGGCCGATTCGCGTCTATTTTAAAGGGAAATTTAATGAACGCGTTTGATGAGATTATTAATACTAATCTGAGGGGCATCATGAAAGTTACAACCCTAGTTGCTCCGCATATTATAAAGACGAAAGGAAACATCGTTAACATATCAAGTGTTGCTGGACAAGCTGTGCCAAAAAATCCTTTAATGACATCGTATGCAATCAGCAAAGCGGGCTTAGATATATTTACAAAAGCAGCTGCGGTAGAATTAGCACCTCATGGTGTGAGAGTCAACGCGATCAGTCCTGGACCAGTGTACACAGATATTTTGAAAAACGCGGGGCTTAAACCGGATGAAGCAACAATTAAATCATTCGATCAAATTAAAACAGCTTTGAATAGAGTATCTACCCCAGAAGAAGTAGCTAACATGATAATGTATTTATCGGGTGATAAATGTATCGGTGTGACGGGATCAAACTTCGTTTTGGATAATGGGGCTTTACTAACATAAAATGTAATCTTTTTAGCTTAATGTAAGCTTGTATGAATATATCATTTTATATAATTTGAGTCTTTTTTTATATTGCTAATAAGTGTTTTTTGTTTGTGAATTTTGTAGTAACTCATTTTGTACCAAGAATAGTGTTGCGTCATTGTACGTTCGAATCACAGCTCTGCATGAATGGATCATTCTTACTACGTTGATGGTATCGTGAGAAAACGAGTAAAATCCAAATATCAAAGCAAATTTATGATTTAGAAGGATAATTAATTGTTCATGTAATAATCAAAGCTACAAATACTAAGGGTTGTAGCTCCACCTGATAATTATCGCAATTTAGAAAAAACATGTTTTCTTCTGATTTTATTTATTCTTTATTTTTACCATTAATCAATCTTAATATATATAAATAACGTGTCACGTTGTTTGTCCGCTATGGACTCCTAAACTACCGAACCGATATCAATCAATTTTGCACACCGTGCGCAGTTTGATCTAATTTAAAAGATGGGATAGCTTACATCTTAATTTATACCCGCAATATTATTTTATTGCAAAATATTTGTTTATTATTTAATAGTCACAATTCTAACAGATGGCGCTGTGTTGAAAGTACCAACGTTTCACATAAGCTACAATTTAATGGCATAACCACCAATGAAACATGGTGGGCCCCATAACTGGTGTTCTCCTACCGTTTCCCTTGATTAGTTTACTACTATGTAATATAACAAAAACCTTAGCCACAGCAACGCTTGGCCGGTCTGCTAGTCAACTATAAGTATTTATTATTTATTTATTGACACTTCGTTGCATGTATAGAAAAATAATGCAATTGACAAAACTAAATAAAAAAGGGGGCAACTGGCGGTCTTATAGCTTTCGAGCGATCTCTTCCAGGCAACCAACATAAGAAAAAAAAATTTAGATAAGGTAATTAATCGCAAGAAGTGCAAGAGTACATAAAACATATAATTATTTAGATAAAACTAATGGAACAAAACAAAGCAATTAAAACATATGTCAACATTGAACAGAACAATTTTAAAAATAGGACACATGAAAAAGAAATAGCGCCCATGAATCACGATAATTTCAGATCAGTTCGTTACAAAAGTTAGGGATACGATGTGGACAGGTACAGAGACTCTAGGCTGGTTTATTGGCATGTTATACATATGATATTAACATACAATGCAGCGTTAGCAAACTTACTTAATGTGATGTTTTGCCTCTTAATTTATGTAAGGATTTACAAACGTAAAATACTTATTTAAATCATTATACGCAAAAGAGCCTTCATAATAATTTGTTTATGCTTTGATAAAATGTGATTGCCAATAATTTAACGGCAATATGTATATGTTCAACGAATAAAATTACTTTAGTAAATAAATTACTTCATTAGTAAAAGACCATTAATTCTATAGTGTAATTTGAACCGGTGACACCAACAGCTTTGTCACTTGCTAAAAACAAAACAACATCAGCAACCTTTTAGTGTTGCCTTTGCCTGATCAATAGTGATGCTAGAACATCCGTTTGCTTCACACTGCTGGAATTATTTTTAGATAATTCAATAGCGATTGCAGCACCAACCCCGGCACTTGCACCGGTTACAATAACAACTTTGCCCTTCAAAAACTATTACTTTTGATCAACGGCTTGAAAGCGACTGATTATTGTGAAGATAAGTCGTTCCATTGTATTTACTGTACCTATCCTAAAGTTTAAACTAAGCCAGTACTATTGTGTCTGTGGTAGGTATATTTTAATATTTTTATTTAGCTCATAAAACCACGAAATCTACAGATCTTAAAAATTTAATTAAATGGATGTGGACCCTTAACAAGGTATTAACAGTCTCTATTATTTTCTCCACCACCAAAGTGTTACACGAATCTATCAAATTCTTAGACCTTCCGAAATCCATTTATCATCCTTAAAAATCAGTTATATTAAATACGGCAAGAATGACCTGCAAATTTCTGCAAGATAAAACAAACTGAGTTCACTTGTCTGGACTGGGCTTAGGCACTAGTGCAACAGTGTACCAGGACTAATTCATTCAATCCTGAGTTTTAGGAGCCGTCTAGCCGATATAATAATGATGAAATAATATAGGCATATATTAAAAAAAATAGTTTTATTTAAATATGTAATGATACCAGTATTCCCACTCATTTCTATATTAAAAACTCTCTATAAACATGTAACTAAGAGATAGCTCTTTGTTTAAATTTTCCTTTTAAAACCGCGTTGAGAAACAAGCGCCTAATTATTTGTATGAGTTGGGTACTTTTAAATAAACATGGTTAAGGGTCAGTTTTAATCAGTCAGCCTATCTTTCTATTTGAAGTTTATCACTGTTCAAGAATTGACTTGAACTTAAAAATAGTTTTTTCCTTGAACTACGTCATATTATTACACATACTTGGTCTTACTAATAAAGATTTATGCACATCGTATAGGCCTGTTATAAGAAAAATGTTACTAATAATTCCTGAATTGACAAGTTTGATGTATACGGCTGTTATAACAAGTGTCTGGTTTGTATGATGACTTGTACAATACTTATACAACGCAGAGGCCTAGTTTAACGGGTGTATAAGACAAAAATAGCGTCATTTGATCTGATTTCGCGTTTGTCAGCATTTTTTGACTGTTTAGTTCAAGGAAAGACTAAGGTTAGTAGGTATTTGTGTTTGTTGAAAATGGATTTTATAGATCAAATGAAAGAATTAGATAATATTGATATGCAGCTAATACATACGATTGAAGATTTGCCGCCTCCAAGGAAAGTCAAAACATACCAAACTCGGTGCAATCCGTTATTACTTTCGGATGGTCATTTCAAAACAAAATACCGCTTTTCAAAGAAGTATGTTATGAAGATCTGTGACATAGTGCGAGCTGATGTCGAAAAGAGTAATAGAGGTGGAGGGTTTTCGATTTAGGTGTCTTCTTCATGGCTTCTCAGTATCATTAGAAAATGCCAAATTATATATAATAGCACTGGCAATCCTCCACAATATAGCTATTGATATGAAAGAAGACCATGGATGTTACGTATGATGACACTGAGAATGCTCCAGAAGAACCAAGGCCAACCTAGACGCCCCCAAGCAATCAGGCTGGACTAGCTACTAGAGCTGTTTTGCTTTGTAAGGCTGTTTTATTTACATTGTGGCTTATACGGTGTGCATAAATCTTTATTAGTAAGACCGATAGTGTATTATATAAAATTAATTCTGCAAAATTATTTAAATATTAATATTTTATTTATTTAGAATAAAAATGCCAGATAATTTAAAATAACTACTGAATTACAGTAACCAATTAATATATTTATTCTGAACATGTAAATTAAAATTGTGATGCGGGTAAAAAAGGTTATCGAAGTTGTCGGAACAAACGGTACAAATCAATACGATATTGTTTACAAAGCGATAACAATTACTTATCGAATATAAGAAAAGTTAATCTTCATACCCGTCAGTCTCTCGTTGCAAGCCATAGTTTCGAGTGTAAAATGAGTTTTAAATCTAAAGTCGTAATTGTCACGGGTGCGAGCTCTGGCATTGGGGCCTATATTGTCACAGCTTTTGCCAAAGAGGGCGCCGACGTCGTTTTAGTAGCACGAAATGAAGAAAGATTAAAAAAAGTCGCTAAAGACTGCGAAGAATTCGGCTGCGAACCACTCATCGTTCCAGCAGATATCACAAACGACGATGAAGGGAAAAGCGTAATCGCTAAGACAATTGAGAAATTCGGACGACTGGATGTGCTAGTTAATAGCGCTGGTATATTGCGTACAGGTCTGCTCGAGAAAGGAGACATAATGGAAGTCTTCGACGAGGTTATGAAGATAAACGTGAGGGCTGCTGTAAATTTGATGAAGTTTGCTACTCCACACTTGATTAAAACTAAGGGCAATATAATCAGTATTTCAAGCGTAGGTGGACAGCAGGTGTTTGCAGAATTCATGGCCTCCTACTCAACATCAAAGGCTGCACTTGACATGTTCTCTCGTGGTGCTGCTGTTGAACTTGGAAAACACGGCGTAAGAGTGAATGTTGTTAGTCCTGGAGGTGTATTAGGAACTAGTTTATTGGCCAATGCTGGCTTCGATCCAAAATTAACACCTGATGATGTCGCATTTAAATCTCTTCTAGGCAGATGGAGTGAACTTCAAGAGATTGCTGATTTAGTTTTGTTCCTAGCAAGTGATAAAGCTAAGGGAGTCACCGGTAGCAACTATACGTGCGATAATGGTTACCTAAACGTTAAACATTGTTTTAAAAATGGTGTGTTGAATTCAAAATAAATATTAGAACAAGTAATAGGAAGACTTTTAAAATTCTTAACAACAAAATAAACTGAGTCACCGACAATATGAAGCACCATTACGTTATACGTTTGAAATTAGCATCTTATTTACTGGAGCTGATAGGAAAACGTGTATGTAACATAGATCATTAATAATAATTAATTATACCTAACATTGTAAATTATGAAGTGATAATATAATTAAAATTAAATTATTTTATTATTTATTTAAACTGTTTATTATTTTAATAAGTGTCCGTAGTTCGTTTTAAGTCATTATATACGATATAAAGCTAGGTTTGACTTCGGAGGAAATCACATTTTTTTTGTAACAGCATCAAACGGACACGAGCATCATCTGAAGGTAAATGATACCGCGGCCCATTGACACTCACAACCCAAAAGACTCGCAAGTGCGTTGCCGGCCTTTTAAGAATTAGTACGCTCTTTTCTTGAAGAACCTTAGTCGAATTGATATATGTAATATTGGTAGGATGTTTGGATAGCATGATGAACCCCTACTTAGAAAATTATGAATTTCTAAGTCATTTTTTTTTCTGCAAATAATACACGGTTTACGAACCTATAGTCTTCAGCTTATAGGGTTATAACTAATATAGGACAAGTAAGTTGTGACAAAATTCATTTATCGCTAGGAGACTGGGGAGTCCCTGTGATGTGGGTAACTAGATAACAATAAGGCAGTGATATATGTTTAAAGCAGTTATATGAGAAAAAGTAGGATTAGAGTTACAACTTAACTTATAGTTTTCAAATAAACTAATGGTGATTTTGTGAGCTAATGTTTCTTGAAAGGTGTTATCATCATATATACATTACATTTTCTACAGCATAATACAATCTATCTGTGCTAAAATACATGAGAATTATGGTGAACATAAATTTTACAAGAAATATTAAATTACAACAAACACAAAAGATGGTACTAGCTTAATTCAAAATTTCGGATAGGTACAGTAAATATGGAATGACTTAGATTTACAATAATCAGTCGCTTTCAATTGATATTTTGACAAACAACGCTGGAATTCTTCGGAAGAGTAGTCTTAAAGACGGCAGTTTCTAAGCGTTTGATGAACTTTTCAATTTAAATTTGCGACGATGGCGCATTTGGTTAATCTAGCAACCCAAAACTTATTGCAAGCAAAGCAATATTGTCAATATATCCGCTGTTACAGGCAGACAGATACTCAATGATGTAGATTATGCAGCATATAGCATGTTAAAGGCTAGTTTAGACCACTTCACACCTGGCGCTGCCTTAGAATTGGGGAAATATAGTTAGTCCAGGACCTGTGAAAACTGAGATATTATATGACGGTACTAGCATCGCTATTGGTCAGGCAAAGGCAATACTGAAGGCTGGCCTCTATCGTTGGAGTTATCCAGAACAAATTGCTGATGTTGTTTTGTGTTTAGCAAGTGACAAAGCTGTTGGTGATATCGGTTCACATACACACATTTATTACACTGTGGACTTTATTTTACTTGTGGTATCGTACTCATGAAGTAATTTTTACTAAAGTAATTAAATTCCCTTATCATATACATATGGGCGTTAAATAATTAGCAATCACATTTTAACAAAGCTTATACATATACATATAAACAAAATATTATGTAAGGATCTTTGGCTTATAAGTTTTATTGTTGTAAATCCTTACAAAAATAAAAAGGCAAACAAGCACAATAAGTATGTTTGCTAACGCTGCATTGTATGTTGATATCATATGTGTAATATCCCAGGCATTCAACAACAATAAAGAAATGTAGATTGTTTATATGTAATAAAGGAAGGAACAGAATCTGATGAAAACATGTTCTTTAAAATTGCGATTATCAGTTTGGGTACTGCACATTTCCATAAGTATACGGAGAGAGTGTTCAAAGAGTATAGTATCTATATGTGATTCACAAATATAATAATTATCGAGACTGGCGCTACAACCCTATTTGTATCTTTGATTATTACATAAACAAATACTTAATTACCCTTCTAAATCATACAATTACTTTGATATTTGGATTTTGCTGGTTTTCTCACGAAACCATCAACGTAGTAAAATCGATCCATTTGCGCACAGCTGTGTTTTGAACGCACCACCTTAAGGCCCTATCCCAGCACGAATTGCTGTGTCAGTGTCTCGGGGTGGACTGTGGGGCGCAGTGGAGAGCTGGAGCACTGAGGCGCGCCGGCCCGTAATAACTATTAGATAAGTAAAACATTAAATTAATGTAATTTTATTAAATTTGTTTTCTGAAATAGATTACTTGGCTTGCGATTAAATATATCGTGTAAATTTCAAAATCATGTTCTATATACATTTTCGTATATAGATCATGATGTTTGGATATTTCCTATCGAGCGAAGATATTTAAATCGTGTATCGATCTTTCAAAATGGATACATAAACTACTCAATTCCACCAAATATTTTTTCCATTCGCTCTATTCAAGAGACGATGACGAAAAATGGAAAGAAACCATGTACTTTTTGGAGTTTGGCGACCAGATAGGTCCTTAAGGTTGTGAGTCGAATTTAAATCTAGGTCAACACTACTCTTGATTCAATCCTGAGCAAAAGTAAACAGTTACCATTCTATAATAATTAATAATTGATACATATTAATTTGAGATGGCTTTTTATGATTTATCTCTGTATACTTTTATGTATATTAATAGTGCTTTATGTAACCTATGATCCTAAACCCTGTGCCGATCACTCCAACTTGTAGGAAAATGTCATTTTATACCGTACCAAGTTTTCAAAATTAATTTTTCGCACTAGTTCAACTGATCGTCCTGAAAAAAAAATGTAGGTACTACTCCAGTTTGGCAAGCAGCTTTAAAAGTTCGCGCATTTAATAAGGATTCTACAGTGGTGTAACACTTACTTCATTATTTCTTAGATCGGCCATAAAAAAATTTTTTTGTTAAACAAAGTCTGTTTTTAAAAATTTCTCTGGAATTACAAAAACGATTCTAGTGTACCCAAAGCGTTCCTAATAACCACAGCGTGGTTTAAATAAGATGGCGTAAAGTGTGAGCGAGACAGATAGTGACGCTACTTATTGCTATTGACACACGCACTACAGGTCAGTACGCAACGCTCCTTCGTTTACTACGCATCTTTTCGTATTCGCTGGTGTTATTTTGTGTTCTAACTACTTTGGCTTCGTTTACAGACTTGTTTGCTTGTGATTTGGATTTTACATTTGTGATCTACGACGACCTTTACTTTTCCCTGGACTTACGTGTTATTGTGTATTTGTACCATACCATGACTACGTACACTACACAGGAATATGCTAACATGCACCTCATTTATGGGGAATGTTTATGTAATGCCAGTGAAGCCGCTAGACGGTATCGCGAGAGATATCTTAATGCAGATCGCTATCCGGATCACAGAGTTTTTACCAATGTGCACCGTCTACTGTTCTCTGAGGGCCGACTGCCAAACCAAGTGCACGGTGAAGATAGAATTTCACTACCCTACGAGGCAGTTGTCCTTCAAGCAGTTGATGAGGACCCAAGTTGTTCGGTACGTGGAATTGAGGCCAGCACAGGTGTGCCCAAAAGTACAGCTCACCGAATACTACAAAAAAATGAGTTCCATCCATTTCATGTACAGCGAGTACAATCCTTATTACCTCGAGATTATGAACCTCGGGTTGCTTTTTGCCAAACAATAATTCAAAAACACCGAGAAGACCCACAATTCTTAGAAAAAATTTTATGGTCGGATGAATCAACTTTTAAAAAAGACGGCTACATGAACCTACACAATCTGCACGAGTGGCACGTCGAAAATCCACGATTGATGAGACCAGACAGATCACAGTACCGTTTCAAAGTTAACATGTGGACTGGAATTTTGAACGGAAAAGTCATAGGGCCTTTTGATTCACCAGAAGTTTTAAATGCTGAAATTTATTTAGATTTCTTACAAAATCATTTGCCCAATTTGCTGGAGGACGTGCCGCTTACTATTTTACGAGATATGTGGTTCCAGCAAGATGGTTGTCCAGCGCATTACAGCCGCTTAGTTCGAAACCACCTTAACGAGGAGTATCCAGACAGATGGATAGGGCGGGGTGGAACAATCTCGTGGCCCGCCCGCTCACCCGATTTAAATCCTCTTGATTTTTTTTACTGGGGAGCAGTAAAGGAAAAAGTCTATTCCAAGTCGAGGCAAAATGTAGAAGAGCTTAGACAGAGAATAGCGGAAGCAGTAGAATTTGTGAATAATGGACGATTTGCCCGCTTCATTTCACGATCTTTTTTAAGGAGATGTCGAGCCTGTATTGCAGCTGAAGGACGGCAATTTGAACATCTTTTATAAAAAAAGTAATAAATCTAATCATAAAAAAGAAACTGTCTATTTTACTTATTAGCGTCCGTATGTCATAAGCGTCACTATCTGTCTCGCTCACATTTTATGAAATGTCTCTCTCCATCTAATTTAAACCACGCTGTGGTCATTAGGAACGTTTTGGGTGCGCTAGAATCATTTGTTGTAATTTCAAAGAGATTGTTCAAAACAGACTTTGTTTAACAAAAAAAAATTCTTATGGCCGATCTAAGAAATAATGGACTCAGTGTTATACCACTGTAGAATCCTTATTAAATGCGCTAACTTTTAAAGCTACTTGCCAAACTGGAGTGATACATTTTTTTTTCAGGACGATCAGTTGAACTAGTGCGAAAAATTAATTTTGAAAACTTGGTACGGTATAAAATGACATTTTCTTACAAGTTGGAGTGATCGGCACAGGGTTTAGGATCATAGGTAACATAAAGCACTATTCGGGTTGACGTAAGAGAAAAAAAATTGGAAAAAGTAAATATTTGTAACAACAGGAATAAAAAAACTGTCACATGGTGTACATTTTCTGGAATAAAAGGAAAATTTCCATAACTTCAAAAATACATGACTTAATTTTTTTTTTGAATTTTTCTGATAACTGGTGTGGC